CTATCTGGAATGAGTATAACCTGCATTTAATAAAACTCGTATAATTCTTTGTTATATGAGTGAAATCATGTTCAGCAAAATATTCAATTTTTTTCCCTACACCATGTCACCATTAACTCTTCACTCCCAAGTGGGGTTCACCCATTTGAATGAATCCTAAAAGTCATACAAATCCAAGTTGTCAAACACAACTTCATTCAAATCAAATGGGTCATTCATCCATTTCAAATCAAATTAAATGAGTCATTCACTCATTTAAAACCTCACTCAAATTCAAAATTATTTGTTGAACTACGTCCGACTTGATTCCATATTTTTTGGATACGAAGGTTAGTCCAACAACTATTCTGGACACAGTTGAAATTCCAAATCACCTTCAATTAAATTCCAAAAAATTGAACTACATCTGACTTGATTCCATTTTTGGATACATAGGCAGTCCAGCATCTACCTTGGGCATAGTTGCATTCCTAAATAAAAAAAAATCATGAACTACGACTGACTTGATTCCATTTCGGATACGTAGGCAGTCTAGTTAAACTAGGCACAATCACAAGTGCAAATCAACTTTGAATAAATTCTAATTTTACTACCTCATAAACTACGACTGACTTAATTCCCTTTCGAATATGTAGGCAGTCCAGTTAAATTAGGCGCAGTCACAACTCTTCCACAATCTTAATTCCCTTTTGAATATGTAGGCAGTCCAGTTGAATTAGGCGCAGTCACAACTCCTCCACAATCAAGTGGTCCTTAAACTCATATCAATTCAAATGGTCATTTACTCAATTCAAACATAATGGACATTTTATCCATTCAAGATCAGTGGGTCATCTACGCGTCGATCTTACCCCAAAAATAATTTAATCTCTCCGAACTACGAACTGGCTTGATCTCGATAACGGGTACGTAGAGCAACCTAGACAATTAACGTAGGTCCAGCCACCATCACAAATAAAATGCCCATGTGGTGTAATGATAACGTGTGATAATTTCTCTTTAGAATCAAAGAGTGTTCTCTTGAAACAAGAGATTATAATGAACGGATATATACTATCTGGAATGGGTCTAACCTGCATTTAATAAAACTCGTATAATTCTTTGTTATATGAGTGAATTTATGTTCGAAAAAATATTCAAATTTTTGCCCTACACCATGTCACCATTAACTCTTCACTCCCAAGTGGGGTTCACCCATTTGAATGAATCCTAAAAGTCATACAAATCCAAGTTGTCAAACACAACTTCATTCAAATCAAATGGGTCATTTACCCATTTCAAACCAAATTAAATGAGTCATTCACTCATTTAAAACCTCACTCAAATTCAAAATTATTTGTTGAATTACGTCCGATTTGATTCCAT